TTCTGAGGACAGACAGATGGAAGAATGGGGAGGAGGAGGAGAGGCACATGGGGTACAACAAGGGAGAAGCCAACAGTCTGCGGGGCCGGGGAGGATGGAGAGTGCTTTGGGGTTTTGGGTCAGGGTCTGAGGTAATCAATTACAGAAGTGTTACATGATGGCCTGCTTTCTTTACTCATCTCCTTGGGAAGGTCCCGGTTCGCCTTGGTTCCTTTGCCGTAAAAGGAAGAGGGAGTGGTCGGACGAATCTGAGGAGGAGCCCGAGGAGGAGACAGAGAAGGAGCGCACCCCTGAGCCTGAGGAGACCTGGGTGCTGGAGACGCTTCAGGGGCTCAAGATGAAGCTAAAGCGACGGCGAGTGTCACCCGTGCTCCCTGAACACCACCAGGCCTTCAACAGGCTGCTTGGTAAGAGGACACCCCAGACAGCACCTCTAATCCCGTTCTTGAAAAAGAGGAAACTTCCCATAACCATACTTTTCCCATGGGAAATACATGCTTCCCCAGTGGGTGAGCTCTCCATGCTGGAGGACTCAGAAGTGATCACTCATGAGGGACTTAGGAGGCCAGAGATTATTCAGCTAGGCTTGACCAAGGTCTGCGATTGGGGTAAGAAAGCTTGGTTTCAGGCCAGGCGCATGGCTCATGCCTGAGATCCCAGGAGGTTGAAAGGCTGAGGCAGGAGGATCGCTTGAACTTAGGACTTTGAGGCTACAGTGAGCTGTGACTGCACCACTGCACTCCTGCCTGGGTGGCAGAGCAAAACCCTATCAAACAAGGAAGACCAAGGCCAAGTACATTAGTTCATGTCTCTGATGCCAGAATTTTGGGAGGCCGAGGCAGGTGGATCTATCAAGGTCAGGAGATTGAGGAGATCAGGAGTTCAGCCTGACCAACATAGCGAAACCCCATCTCTACTAAAAATACAAAACTCAGCCTGGTGTGGTCGCACATGCCTGTAATCCCAGCTATCCAGGAAGCTGAGACAGGAAAATCGCTTGAACCCCAGAGGGGGAGGTTGCAGTGAGCCAATATCACACCAGTGAACTCCATCCTTAGCAACAGAGCAAGACGCCATATGAAATAAAGAAATAAAAAAATAAAGAAAAACAAAATCAAAAAACAAAAAGCATTTCCAGTTGCGCCATCAGAAACGTCATGTCTCTCACTGACTTTTCTCAACCTAAGTATCTCCATTCATACAGGGGGACACCAAGGCCATGGTCACACCTGATGTGACTGTCTCATGAGGAAACGATGGGAATGACTTTATGACTCTGCAGTGGTCCCTGCGTGTCTGTGGGGAGGGCATCCTGGCTTCTTCCCAGTTCTCCAGCGGGTAGATTCTCACACCCAGGGCCTCCTTCAGCCTCTTCTCAGGGCAGTCTCAGAGTGGGAGCCTCTCTCCCTTGCCCAGTGAAAGTCATTCTCTCCTCTCCCATCCACCTCACCCGTGGCCACCATCCTGAGACTTTCCCTAGGGAGGCGCAGTTCTCCTGGCTGCCCTGTTTCTCCCATGGAAACTCCTTTCTGCTTCTCATGCTAACATCTGCTCTCTAATCACAGAGGATCCTGTCGTGAAAAGATTCCTGGCCTGGGACAAAGATCTCAGGGCATCCGACAAGGTAAGGTCGTTCTCCACGCAACTGTCTTCCTGTTCCAACACACAGCCTGGGGGAGGTCACAGCTTCCACACCCACAGTTCCCATCCCCTCTCCTTCCACCAGCTCCCACCTGACGCTCTACAGTCTTATTTTATTTTATTCTGAGACAGAGTTTTGCTCTGTTGCCCAGGCTCAGGGCAGTGTCCCAGTCTCGGCTCAATGCAGCATCCCCCTACAAGGTTCAAGCGATTCTCCTGCCTCAGCCTCCCAAGTAGCTAGGATTGCAGGTGTGCACCACCATGCCTGGCTAATTTTT